TAGGGTAGGCTGGGTCTTCCTCTCAGTGAAACAGAAACAAGCACAAACAGCCACGCCTATGGGGTGGGTGCGGAGTACTCCAACACCAATCTTCATGCTTGCCTAACAACCGCTTTTATCCACGGACTCACCTCTCCAGACTTCAATCCTGGCACTAGGAAGGCTGAGGCAGGAGGATCTTGCTTTTGAGGCCAGCCTCAGAGATGTAATAAGATTCTATCTCAGAAAACAAGGACATGAAGAGAAAGTGGCCGCTTGCGGGGGCAGGGATTTCCACCCCCACCCTGCCCGTTTTTGGGAACTCTGTCGAAACAGAAAAAGAAAGGTCGAGGGGGAGGTCTTTGGGCTTGGTCACCAGGATCCCAAATCAAGCAACCTGAACAAGCCAACTGCACCCAGAAAGCAGAAACCCAGAACCAACAACTGGCCTGGTGGTACAGGACCATACTTCCAGCTACCCTGGAGAGACTGAAGACGACAAATTCAAGTCAGCCTGGGCTACAGCAGAATTCGGAGCTAAGAAACCTGGATTTGTGAGTAGGTAAACGCAGCTCGACTCCAGAAGCCACATATAGGCATGCGTACTGGGAGGTTGTATTACCTAGTGTGTGGGGAGGGTGGGGAATTCGGAGCTTGAACCCACAAAGCCGTAGGAAGGAAGTGAGGAGCTGAAGCAAGGGTGACAGGAAGCATCTGAGAAGGGAAGCGGTAGTTTGGGTGTCCGACAGAAAGTGACTGATTAGACCCAAGGCTCAATATCTCATATACACTCAGCCTGGACTTTGCTTCCCCGGCCACACCTGGAATCAAAGCCCGTCTTTCCCGATACTGTCACCCAGACCTAAACGTGTCAAGAAAGTTAAGAGAACTTGAGGCAACTTGGAGAGGTGAGGTCCAGGGGAACCCAGAGACCGGGAGGTAGACGTGAAGGAGGCCAAGAACCAAGAAAATAGGCAAACATCAGTTGGTTAGGGGTGAGGAAGTTAGGGAAAACTGCCCGGAGCAAAGGCTGGCCTGCCTCAACCAGTCTTCCAGCGAATGTGGCCACAGAAGCAGGTATCTTCAATCCCGTATATTTTAGGACTACTTCGGGACCTGGGAGACCAGGCTTCTCCACTTCTACTGTACAGCTCCCAGCATGTGGAGCTACCTGTCCTTGCTGCCAGTCATCCTAGCTCTATGGGCTATCGCTGGCATCTGGCTTGTGTAAGTAGCAGAGGCCCAAAGGATGCTTGGGTCTTAGGGACAAGGGCTGGGGTCTGGATTCTTGGCTTTGAGGGAGGCCTGAATTTCTGGGTCTCAGGAAGGAGGGCTGGGGATTAGACTCCTGGGTCTGCGGTTTGCTGTGACCGAGGATGGGGGCCACAAGTCTATCAAGGAAGCGTTCACAAGTGGGTGAACAGGAGGGAAAGAAAGCTATCCGTCAGAACCCCCTTACTGAGTTCCTGTATCACTTTCCATCCTGTTTTTGCAATTGCCGTGGCTAACAGGAGTGTGGACCTCAAGAAGGGCTTCCCCTTTATCAGGTTGTTGTGGCTGAAGGGGTGATGGGGGAGGGAAAAAGGAGGGTGGTCTTCTCTCGGCGGAGCCAAAGGATGACACTGTTAATTTTCTGCAGTAACGAGATCTGCCTGCCTCTGCCTCCTGAGTGCTGGGATTAAAGGCGAGCGCCGCCGTTGCTCAGCATGATTTTGTTTTTTGATAGAGAGTCTCACTACTGATCTGACAGGCCTGGAACTCTCTGTCTTCACTGGGCTAGCCTTAAACTTACAGCAATCCTCCTGTCTCTGTTTCCTGAGAGCTGGGGCTGGGATGACAGGCATAGCCACTACTCATTTTGTGTGTGTGTGTGTGTGTGTGTGTGTGTGTGTGTGTGTCTGTCTGTCTGTCTGTCTGTCTGTCTATCTGTCTCTGTGTGTGTGTGTCTGTCTGTCTGTCTCTGTGTGTGTCTGTCTCTGTAGATGTATGTGTGTGTCTGTGTCTCTGTGTGTGAGTGTGCGTGTATGTGTCTGAGTGTGTGAGTGTGTCTGTCTGTCTGTCTCTGTATTTGTGTGTCTGTCTGTCTGTATGTGTGTGTCTGTGTCTATGTCTCTGTATGTGTGTGTGTCTCTGTGTGAGTGTGCGAGTGTGTGTCTGTGTTTCTTTCTGTGTGCACATGCGTGTGTGTCTGGTTCTTTCTTGGGTCACACTATGGCAGCCCTGGCAGGTCCG